CAAGTCAATTGAGAAATTTTGAACAAATATGAATGTTCGAAAAAATTCTCCTCACCACTTCTCGCCACTGTAAATTGCTGGGAAATTTATTACATGTAGGATCGAAATATTTCTGGAGTTTGAAAAAGTGAGTGGGCGATGATTCCGAAACATTTCTTTCTCTTTTTTATGTTTCAATCGGAAATTTATGATACAGTTTTATTTTAGAAGTTCTTCTCAGCAAGAAAAGACATCGTATGGGTTTTGGGGATACGGTACTCATTGATTATGAGCGCTCATTTTCAAGAGCTTGTGAGGCAGATAATACAGGAGAGAGAAAGACATCAAATAAAACCAATTCAAAGTATGAATGGCGAATGATTAACTGTGTGAGCTGATCAAAAAGAAACAGGCCATAATTATTGGGAAAGTGATCAGTTGTGGGAACTGTGGAAATGTTTCGTGGGAGTTTCAAAGTAGATTGAGCACTGCGAAAATTCTCGAGTTCAATGTATGAACTCTTATTTACAACTTTGATAAATTCCAAAAATTTTGATATTACCGATAGAGAACTCCTCCGAAATACCGTATGCCTAATAAAAACCTACCAAATTCTTTAACTTTCAGCTCAATTGTCTCGGTTTTTATGAGAGATATCAAAAATATATCAAACTGTAAAATATTTGTGATATTATGATAATTAATTATCAGTTGCAAATTATTGATATGTTTAAAAGGAATTGAGATAATTGATCTAAAAGTGCACTTATGGTATTTTGTTATCACAGAACTTTTAATCTAGTATTTCTGAATGGATCTGATGTTGTTCCAGATTATTATAATCACTTATTTTCAAACTCTTAGCAAAAGGCAACTTAATAAAAGCCGATCACTGTGGCACGCCCCTTTTTATTTACATAAACCAAATTAAATCCTCACAAAAAGGAACTCAGAAAGAAAAGCTATCGTAGTTTTTTTTTATTTTATTTTCTCTCATAAATGAGGTCTGAAAAGAAAGAAGGTCATAAATCTTGGAAAGCGCTACTAAAAGGATACCCAAAAATCTTATTTCATTTCTTCACGCTATCTTTCCGAGATGGATGAATGGCTACCGTAGTCTCATCTCATTTCCTTTTTTGAAAAGGAGCTTGCGTACTCGAACATTAATCTGTTAGGTGTTTCTATATCCTTTTCAGATGATTGATATTGGAAGAAAATTGTAATTGGAAAATTCCTCATTTCAGGTTTTACCAAAAAATCTGCTCTTATTATAATAAAATTATTGTTTCAATCCAAATCATCTGTTTTTTTCAGACACTCTTCTTGGGCACCCGACTCGTCTCGGTTACGAAATGTCGGTTTGAATGCACAAGCTGCAATCATAGGAAAATCATGTGAGTTTTAAATCAATAGCTTATTTCACTTTTTTCATTCTGAATTTTTTTCAGATAATCCTTTCAAAAAAAAAGATTCAAATTGCTGCATCTAACAACTCGTCGTCAACAGTCATCAGTCATCAGTGACACAGTCATCAGAACATTGTCAAGAAATCAGAATTCAATCAAGCTTCATCTACTCGCTCTTTCTCTTCACCTCTTCTACTCGTCAGCTGGCGCTGCGCGCTATCACGGACCAAAAAGATCTTCCTGGTGAAGAATTAGCAATTTCATACGGGCAGTACAGTGCCAACTGTACATTAATCTATTTATTTGGCCTTAGTTAACCGGTTAGTAAAAAATTTTGAAAAACTCCAAAAATATTTCTCACCCCTACCTTTGCTGCCTAGCTCTCTACCTTAGCTCTGTGGACCTTCCTTCCAAGGAACTGTACAAAGTACCTCACAGTAGTCGGTTCTTCTCAGAATTGAGCTACTACTTTTTTTTGTATTACCTCGCCTTTTGCCGTCACCTCTTTTGTAACTACCCTCACTCCTATACTCATTTTTTCCCACACCTCACGTATTTTTTGTATATTATTTAGCGCCTCATTCACTTATTTTTCATTCCATAGATATTTTGCACCCCTCATATACTCCCCCTCTCACCTCCCAACCACGCTGGTCGTGTATTACCTCATATTTTATTTTTCTCACACCCTCATTTTATTTGGTATTGGAAAAACCAAACCGCCTCTGGCTGCTCCAGATCTTTTTAGTACAGGTTCCTATTCTAATCTCCCTTCAATATAGTCGGGTTTAGCCCAAAACATGGAAGTTTTTCGTGTCTTGAGAGCTTGAGGAAGTACCGATTATTGAGATCTAAGTTCTTCTAGACATCATGACTTCCATTGTTTAGGTAGGCTTTGTTTCCAAACTGGCATTAGAAACTCCGGATTGCAAATCATCACAGATGAGGTCCAATTCGAGTTCTGCTCCTTACTGGTAAACATAGCATTTGGTACATCATAGTGATGGCTACATCATAATGATGCTAAACAATATTTGTTTCATTTTATTACTCCCATTTTTAGTAGAAACAGTTATTTCTCACCAACTGTTACATTCCAAGTAGAAGACTTTGTGAGAGGTCTTGTATTTGAGTCTTCTTTGAAAATTGTATTCCTTGATTGATGTTCTTTTATTGTATGTTCTGATTCTGATGACACCTGATGACGTTTTTGTTGAATAAAGTGATTTGAATCAAACATCGATTGACGAACACAATAAGACATCATTGACTATTTGAGCCATTGTATAGAGAAGGAAAGGTGCGCAACTAGTATTACAACTGGAAAATTCAATATTTGCAGCAGTAAACAGTCTTAAGCGCAAACAGACGAAACGTTCAGTACAAAACTTACACACTAACAACACATTTTTGTCAGTTTTCCATTTTGTCACTTGACATGTTTAAATTGTTGCCTACTATTTTCTTGATGGTGCTACTGGCGATTTATGTTGGAAGTCAGATGACTTGCAATCCAGTGTGTACTCCACCAGCTTTCTGTGATACTAATACAGGTAAGTATTGATTACGGGTGTCTGACAACAGAAAAAAAACTCAGTTTGACTTACTAAGTAAAAAATGGTCTAATTTTTTTACTTAAAAATTATCCCAACATTTTTCATACCTTTGAAAATTTCAAATTTTGCATAGTTAACATGAAAAGAGACAATTTCTTAAAATTAACACCGTTTTCAGCCAGTTCTTATATCTTGTCGAATGCACATAAACAAAAACAGTTTTCTAGAAAACGAATTATCGGAAAATAGCTAATTTCGGTATACAGCAATAGTTTTTCCCGGTAAACTGTTTTCTTGTATTAGATATTAGAAAAAAATTGTTCACATATGAATTTTTTGGCAAATAGGTTTCAAACTTTTTCTAATGCTTTAGCTAATTGCCATCAGTCGTATAATCAGTCACTCTAATAGAATGAGTCCCATAACATCACATTTTTATTTCGGATCTTGTGAAAGATACGAAAAAATTATCGACTGACAAAAATTGGTGATTTTTTGTGAACATGTTTTTAGTTGAACACATTTTGATATTTTGCCTAGAAAATGAATTATATAGACTTAATTGACAGTTTGAAAAGCAGTGTTGTTGATTTCAAAAGATACTTTTTTTCTCCGAGAAACTCAAAATCGATAAATTTTTCATTATGGCAAGTTACCGTATTTCCTACAATAAAAGCCTATGGGCTTCTTTTTCAGGGTGAGCTTTTCTTAAAGGTGGGCTTAAATTGAAGAGTGGGCTTCTCTTATTCGATGACTTATTTTCAAAAAATTTAATTTAAAATGCAGAAATTTTAGAATTTGAAAGTTAAGACTACAGAAATTCATTGTTTTGGAAAATTCTAAATTTTTATTTTTCGATTCTAAGTTTCAAAAATTTATGCAATTGTGTATTTATGATCGGTCAGATATCATTAGAAAAAGTAACAGAATCTCATTGAAACATATCACTCAAAAAACGGACCGCGAAACTGTGGTATTTTCTCTCTCATAAGTCTTGAAAAATACAGTCTTGAAAAAAGTTGCTTCGTTGGATTTTCAAATAAATGTTGACGAATACTAAAACTAAACTTTGATTTTATTCAGTATAATCTGAAGTTTTTGAAAAGTTTGGTAAATTCTGGACTTCTTCTATAGGACTCCGAAGATCTTTCACAGAAAAAATTTGGTTTAACAATTTGAAAGCTGCGATGTTTATCTTTTACAGAGATTTATTGAATTTTAGGAATCTGTCGTAACTTCCGCCAAGCTTTTAATGGGCCTGTTCTCATCCAATGCGCCAACTGTCCAGCTGGAACGCAATGCGATTCCAACACTGGAATCTGCAGAACCTTCCGTCAGCCTTGAGTTTTTCATTCTAAATAATTGTATTCCTTTCATTTCGAAATATCCTATTTTCTAGAAAATATCTGCTCTTTTTCAATAAATCATTGTTCTGCTCTCAAAAAGTTTTATTGTTACATACGTAGACTCGTAATGTTTGATAACAAGATTTGAAAATGTCGAGGGGTGAATAGCTAAGATATCGATGATAGAAATAAATTTGTTAATGAACTATAAAACAGTTTTGAGGGTTCGGATGAAAGTGTTGGTCAAATATGACATGAAAAAGTCGAGACAGGTTCTATAATAGATCTGTTGAATGACAAGGTAGTTTACTGAGTGGATTACAAGATTGTCGTTGGTTGCCAACGTGAACAAACAGTTAGGAAAGATTTTGACACAATAGGGGTCAGAGAGGTGTGTGAAAAACAAAAAGTGAGATTCGAAGGTAGTGTTTTGAGAATTGGATTTGTTGTTGAAAGGGATTAGGGGGTGGGGTTAAACGATTCACGAGTGTTTGATTGGATAGTCTGGAACCATCAGTCCCATCTTCTCTGGGGTGTAGAGATGCTCATGGGGACCCTCCTCGATACCTGGCGATGTTGATTTGGTGGAGTGACCGTGGTGGACAGGGCGGGCATACGGATCCTGAAAGCTTGGTTGGTGTTCGAAACGGTTATAGGTTAGACAAAAGAAACTCACGTTTTGGAGGTAGTTGGCAAACAAGCTCTGGCAGATTTCCTTAGTCACCATTGCTCCGGCATGATCATCAATGAAGCGCATCAGAAGGACACCGTCTTGTTTGAGTCCGTGGTTGGCGAACTTTCCGATTGGAATGCGAGACGACTCATCCTTGAAGTTGTGGAGTGGCCCGCTGAGCAGGGATCTGATGTAGTTGTGGCGAGAGCTGTCGATGCTTAGTCTCCAGATTGTGCAGATGGTGTTGATCAAGGTGGTGATCAGAACGAAGACGAACCAGAACCAAATGAACAAGTAAATCTTTTCGTTGAACATATTGATCATGAGTACGCATTGGACAGTGTAGCGGTGAACGTTGGCAAGCTTTCGTACCGAGAAATCGCAAAGTGTGACACGTGGGAACACTCCAGAATCCTGCCATTCACGTCCAGCATACAAGTCGGCAAAAGTGTGGAATCCCCAGAGGAAGGTCTCGTTTCCAAGGAACTTGTTAAGGATGATGAATTGGATGAGGACGTTGCCAAGGTACATAAGCTTGATGCAGATGTAGAGCAATGAAGTCATCGAGCCGAGTCCTTTTCCGAAGCGGTAGCAATAGAAACGACCGTATTCGTTTTTGGAACGAGTCTCCAGAATGTCTTCAATGAATCCGACCAATTTGTTGATTCCCTTCTTTCGAGTCTCAGAGTCACTGGAACGAAGAGCTTCGGCCTCGCTGATCACAGATGGGAAATCCAATCCGCATTGCTTGTAGAGAGACGACCAGATCCACGATGGTAGGTAGAACATGAACGCTTGGATGGCAAGAACGATCGGTACCCACTGGTAGTAACCGATTTCGGCTTTTTGTCGGTCCTCAACGTCGCCGGGAATCTCGGAGCGTTCCGGAATGAAGAATGTATTCTGGATGAAGCAGTAGTCTTCTGCGTATTGCTCCCAACCGCCCTTAAATTCCATTGGCATCCAACATTGAATGGCTGATCCTACGTATCTGTAAAGAGAATATTGTTTATTATTGTTACTCCAACGTCTGTTCCAAGGGGGGCATTAGCTCATCTGACGAAAGCCCATATGACAGAAACCCCCTGTCTTTCCGATCTATCAATGACACCACGTTCACACGTACATGCGCGTTTCCAAAATAATTTATTCATACAGTGATCCTAGCACACTTCCTTCCTACCACCGCGATATCGAAATCAAAGATGTGCAAACACAAACACCCCGCTTAGTCTATCCTAGAGCACTTGGTTCTCGGCGCAATTGAACCGTAAAAGAGCTTGCTCTTTCTGTCCAAACGGAAATTAGTTTTTGGCAAAGGAAACCCCCGCAAGGTACGGTATCTGTAGATATGTTCCCCGAAGTTTGGGGCTCAAACTTACTGTTTGCAGGAGACCATGATGGAGAAAAAGGCGAGGAGAGTGGCGGTGGTGACATAACTGAGACGATCCACGGCATCGTCGAAAGTCTTGGCTTTGAATGTATTGGAGAGCCACCGGTCGATGAACGGGACACCCAACATTGCTTCTGAAAATCGAATATGAATTGTGAAATGA